ACTAAACTAAACTAAACTAAACTAAACTAAACTAAACTAAACTAAACCCTCAGCTACAGGTGGGTCCAGGCACAGTGAGGAGGAAGGCCCTGTAGGCCATCACAGCACAGGGAATGATGAGGTCCCAATCCCCGTGACCACCACCACCACGCTGTGGCCGCAAAAAGAGTGGAGGATGTATTTTCATGTCAGACATGAAGAAAAACGCTTCAGCAAGAGTCAAAGCTTTGTCATTGGGGAAGGTGAGACCTTCAGCTAATGTTGTGAAATAGTCCTGGATTACAAAAACATAACAGTTACTGCACTCTGCCTGTTTTAATGGGCCCACAATGCCCTGGGGAACCCCCTGGTGTCCCAAACAACTCCTTGGTTATGGTAAAGTTGGTATCCCAACCAACTCTGACACCACAGTGAGCTCCAAAATGTCCACCTGTCTTTCTATAATTAGACATAGAGCAGCGTCCAATATGTTTCTGTTGTAGGGCTGCATGCAGCCTTTGCCCCTGATGGGCAAACACGGCCTGTCACATCCTTGCTGGAACTGGTGTAACATCTGAATTGGTCTGCTGGGCTTTTTTTTGTTCTTCCAGCTGGAAAACTACTCAGTTTCATTGGTTTTTATCATGTAAATTTGCTAAGAAAACTTTAAATTCTCTGTGTTCCAGCTGCCGGGATCAATAATCTCTTCTTAGCTCTTGGCTGCACATTCACTGTGGAGCGTGTGTCTTGGATGTCGGGCATCCTTAAAAGTGCACTTATTTGATTCCCTGTAGTCTATGCACAGATATCATTCTTTTTATGCACCATTACAATGGGTGAGGCCCACAAACTGTGGCTGCCATGTCCAGTATCCAGGCTCTGCCTTATCTGCTTGTCAACCTTGTTGTTTTTGTTGTCATTTGGCATAGTGGCTGCTTGACTGGGATAACTGGTGATTATGTCATTCTGTGAAAGGTTAGCATAGCCAATGTCGATGGGTCCAGTAGAGAATCCTGTACTGTATATGTGTGGCGACTGAGCAAACTGAAGATGCTCTTCCCTCTTAGTAACTGCAGAGCACTAAGAAAACAGCTACTACGGGTGTTAGGAAACACTGGGGAACACTGGCAGAGGCAGATTGTAGGATCCCTGCATTGGCCCCTTCTTTTATTGTGAAAGGGACGTTCCCAGGATTGCAAAGGTCGTGTCGGACAGTTCTACCTAGTTGAGCCTGCACCAAGACAAGAGTAACAGGAACTTTATGTTTCTCAATAACCCCATAAGCTTTTATCTTTACAAGGTACCTCTGCTTCCAACTCAACCATGCAGGACACTCACCGTTTGTGATTTCAGTTTGTGGTGGGGTTGGAAATATGGCACTTCTTCACCACAGAGCATTATGGGTTGGCTTCTAAAGGTTTTCACAGCTGACTGTGCAGATGAAAACATCAGGAGAGAAGGTACTGCAATGATGCAGTAATGTCATTTTCTTCCCTGCCCCAGTGTCCAAAACAGCCCCCAATATCTCCAATTCACGTACAAGCGTGTGAATGTTCAATTTTTGGCTTGGTTTCTTAAGGTGGCCAAAGCCTAAGCCATTGTGATCTCCTCCCATTTCTTGACTTTGTGGCTGTTGCCCCAAGATGATGTATGTTTGGGTTTTGGAGACTTACATTTCTCTCCTACTGCAGAAGGTGCTTATATCTCAGTTGCTATGTCCTGAACTGAAAATTTCTGCACAATTTCACCATCACCCAAAACTTTACTCTTTAAACTACTTCTAGGTGCGCCATCTTGGTCATCCAAGTGTAAAACCCATCTATCTGTCCCTCTCCTCACGTCCACTCTCCCTTGAAGGGGCCATGACATTCTTGCAAGGCAAGCAAAGGAGAATTACAGGTGAAAGGTGGAGAGCAAGTTGAAGAACAATAACACAGGTAATGGAAGGAGGTGTAAAGAAGACCAACTAGCTAAATATATTCTTTATCATCTCCACTTAAGCTAAACCCATATCCCCATCTGCCTCCTACTTATTCACCTCCAGCCCCATCTTTTTCTACAACTCACCAGCAGCAGCTTGCTTGCCTCAGCCTGTAGTTCAAATAACTGGCATAGGCACCACGTACAGCAGCAGCGACAGTCAAGCATGGGCTGGTTCCGCCGTGGTGGGGAACGTGACTACAAGGAGCTAGTGAGCGTCTTCAGTGTGTGGACCTCCAGAAACCACTTCCAATTGGACACCACCAAGACCAAGGATATAGTCACTGATTCTACAGGTCCAAGTCCAGAATATACAACTCTAACTCTAACTGGCCAATTATTTTTGCATGCTGAGACACTCCATATCATATGGGACCTATTTATTTTTTCTCTTTTTTCAAATTGCACTCTTTCCTTTCATTATTATTTAACTTTATTCTCATGTTTATCTTATCTTGCGACTACTTGGACAAAATAATTTAACTGATTTTTACTCTTGAATCTAGACAGCAGAAATAAAATAGCCTGCCTGTTTTGCAGGAATTGCAGGTATGTAAATTAATTATTGTGATAACCCTCACTACATAATAAAAACAGAATTACCTTATCCTGAGCTTTTGTTCCCCTGTCAAACATGCACCCAGGCCTCTGGGACATACACCTGTAAATACTGTACTTTACATCCAAATATATTGACTTATTTTTTTAAATTTTGCGATAGCTCTTCAAGATGGGGACAGGATGAAGCGAATAAAACTTTCACTAAATGTACATTTCTGATCAGGGCCACAGGCTACACAGCTTTTTGTATATTGAAACTATTGTGAATGTTTTTTATTTGGATGACGAACGTTTGATATCGCCAAACATTCATTCTGTAGACAAAAGCATATCAGAATATGTTTAAAATATACTTGAAATGTTTCAAAATCTTTTATTTTTCTAACCTCACAAACTAAGAAAAATGTACAATAGGTCTGAAGTAGCAATTATTAAAGCAAATCTAGAATTTAATAATTAACCTAACACATCTTAAATCAGCATTACAATAGCATCCAAAACCAAATATATACAATAATGATAGCTGAATTATAAAATAGGCTGCGCTGGTTACAAAGTGTATTAAAATTTCACAATGTTGACTCTGACTATCTTGTCCACAACATTAATTAATTTCACGAATTTGTAATTCTGTGTGGTTTGTTCGACTCAACTTTTAAGATTAAAAGAAAAAAATATGGGAAAAAAAATGTATCACGAACACCAGAGGCCTCTTTTTCTTCAGCTGTAGATTTTTCAACTCTATCATAAGGCTTTACAGAAAACAATTTGATTCGACTAATCATGAAACTTATTCTTAAATATCAGCTACAATATGTATCCAACGATCCCTTTTTCTTCGAAACGGCTTATGCAATTCTAGTAATTATTGAAATAAGCATTCAGAGATTTACATAAAAATGTTTTTTTTAAAAAACCTCAAAAGCCTTAGGAAAATATCGGTATATATAGCAGGCACAGCATGCGCAACATGCTATACAAATATTACGGAATTACGCACACTCCTCTACAACGAAAGTCCATCGGCCCTTGTTCACGTCCCTAAACAGAGCTTTTTGTTCACAGCAAGTTATAAACTAAAACTGCTAGCACACTTCCACATAGGTTCATCGAGATTCCTTGGATGCTGCCATAAATAAGTTAATTGGTTATTGTTTTGGTTCGGACAAAAATATAAAACTCTTGGTTAGTGTTGTTATGCACTTTAACCCCCGGTCGTATTGTGTGACAAGACAACAAACTAGTCCAGGGATTTCTTTTATCTTAACGCGCTCTTTTTATTAAATTGTCTGGCAAACGGTCAAACGAATTACTACAGGTGGTTATTTCTCAAAACGTCCAACTTTTCACCAACAAAGGCCTCTGCCAGACAAATCAGTACATACTTTCTGCATTATTATTTTTTTCAGGGTGGGGGTGTTGAACTAGAATCGAATAAAACTTTTTTACAAATCTATTTAGTTATTCTGCTGAACTAAAGGCAGGCTCGAGTTTTTTATGGAAGAGTCTCATTCATAATGGTGATGATGATGTTTAGCGATGTCCCATACACATCAGCTTTGAATCCGTTGTCAATTACCATGATTTGTACATTAGAAAAGCTGAAGAAAAGTTAGAAAAAAAGAAATAGACCAAAAGACATTACTGCGAACATTTTTTTCCAATGTATTCATTTATTTATTTTGTATTTCACATCCGAACATAACAGAGATTAATCTGAAATTCCCACGCAAACTGAGTAAATAAATATCACATTTTTCTTTTTTTAAATTAAAAAATGAACACTTGGTCATTATTTTACGTCCGATCGTACGCGCTGGAGTGAAAATAAGAAGAGAAGCATTAAAGAAAGGCTGATGGTGGAGGTGCAGCTTGTGTAGAACATGGAGAGTCTGTCCATACAACAGCACGACTGTAATATATAACATTTCAAACTATTTAAACTTAATAAACATCTACATATTTACACTAAATTCTGGCACGTCTGAAGTTTGGAACTTCTCCACTGAAAGCCAAACGAAACTAAATGACAAAGAGGCGATGTCTTGAGCTCCCAGAGATTTTCAGCAACAATCAGTAATCGAGCTCTGTGATGAGATGCCAACATTGGGGGGTTAATTATCATGGAAGGCTACATTAGTTGCAAAACTTGAAGGTCCTTGTAAGGAAATCAATACATGGGTTTTTGCTCGATCCGTTGACACAACAGAGTCCGCAACAAAGATAGATAACGTGTCCTTATGTGGGGTTAGAGTATATACCGACCCCGACAAAGCAGTTCTGGAAAGTTTGGAGTCACTTGGAGTCGCCGGCCAACCTCGGCATGGTGACGGTGTTTATACTGGACACATGTGGGGGCGGGACTTGGCACATGCTGCACGGACAAGGTAGCCCGGTGCCGACGCCCCAGTGCTGGAAACTGCTGCCCAGGGCGCCTGCGCTGGCGGCGGGCGCTTTCAGAAGTCCATGGTGGGGCCGGACCGAAGTGACCGCGGAGATTCCGGGCGCGGAAAGGGAGGCGGTGGACACCGCGGACGGCGGGAGGAGGGTGTGGTGCACCGCTGGATGCGGCGCGTGGGAAGCCGCCGGGTGTCCCGGCACGGGTCCCGCATGCGTCATAGTCCCACAAGCCGACGGGTGGAAGCCTGTGTGGTGTCCGCTGCTCCCGTATATTTCACTCACCAGCCGCTTCATCTCTTCCAGCGAGTTACTGAGCATCAGGATGTAGTTTCTTGCCAGCAGCAAGGTGGCAATTTTGGAGAGTTTACGCACAGAAGGTCCGTGTGCATAGGGCATGACCTCTCGCAGCCCATCCATGGCCACGTTGAGATCGTGCATCCTCTTTCTCTCGCGGCTGTTGATCTTTAGGCGGATCGACTGAAGCTCATTCTCTGAAAGCAATTTACGGTCTTTCTTAGATGCCATCCGGAGGGCGAGGGACTCTTCGTCTGAAATCAGTGGGCCACGCAGGCCATTTTTCTCTGATGGCGAGTCGCTTTGCGTGGAGGACACGGCGCCAGAAAAGCCGTGCACTGACTTCTTTAGAGTGGACATAAAGACGTCGTCCACTTCTGGAGAGGAGGGTCTGCTTGACATGCGGCTTGTATCTGAATCCATGGTTTGTTTGTTTTATCGTTCTGAAAAAGGTACAAAGAAAGGAAAGACAACAACTCAGTATCTTGTCTTACACATTTTTTTCTGACTTGAAAACACATTTCATATTTCTAAGAGAAAAAAAGAAAAGGAAAGTTGTCTTTTTTTCTTAAATTTGCCAAGTCTGCAACAGGCAAAAGTAAGTTTGTCCACCTTGAAGGATCGATACGCTATAAATTATCAGAATATAATCTTTTGCCAAAAGTCCGCTTTCGTGATCCTAATATCCTGCCGTTTGCTACTTGAAACCATAAAATCTACGAGTTGAGTCAAAAATCTGTTCTTTTTCTTTTTTCTTAAATTAAAACACCTACCGAGTTTTTCCAAGCGTAATGATTTCATTAAAAAAAGCTCAAAAGTCAAATCCACTTGTTACTCCATATCACATCTGACAGCCCATTTGCCACGCCTGCCAGAGGCCGCAGGGTTTTATAGCGGGTTTGGAGCACTCAGAGGCTGGGTCACCACGACAACGTTGTTTCTGTCCTGGGTGCTTCCCTGTGACCAATCAGAGTCGTGCAGGGAGGAGGGAGGAAAATGAAGAGGAGAGTCAGTGAGATCCAAAATCCTGATGTAATTACTGATACACAGTATCACTAAAACAAGGCAGTCCTCCCTGCATATGGCCCCTTATTGTGGAAAGTATTTCCACATGATAACCCAGAATAATGATAGAAATGCACCCAGTGAGTAACCTATACACACGCGCGCACACACACACACACACACACGCATACACGCACACATTTATATATCGATATCTATATATCGATATATATATATACATATGTATATATACATACATACATACATACATACATACATACATACATACACATAGATAGATAGATAGATAGATAGATAGATAGATAGATAGATAGATA